CCAGCTTAGAAAATGCTCGAAATGGATGTGCGAGGGACATAGCCACCGATCAAAAAGGATTGTGTACACGTAATAGCCAAGCCGTTGAGAAAGCTTCCTCCCAGCTCAGGTGGCGTGAAGGGTTACTATGTGAGGGAGCGAGTGGGTGGATTGCGGTACAGAATCCAAAACTAGGCACATGAGATGTATTCTTGTTTTTTTTGTAACGATGTAGTAAATATGGTGTTTGAAACGGGACGGAGTGCACGGAAAATGATTCCATTGCATTTTGTATATTAAGAGGTGAGGAGGTAAATTATTCCCCCTTTTTAATTTTTTTTTTCGTTTAATATATATATCTTCTTTTTCATTGCTACTCTTCTCCTGTGGTATTATCTCTTTTTTTCCACGTTCTCTAGTTTGTACACAAAACCATGGCTGGCTCTTCATTGGATAGATAACATAACGGGAATGGTAGATGGGAAAGAAGAGTGTATTCAGTTGCCGCGTAGAAGATCGAGATCGGGTTTTCGTTGTATAGCTACCCGTTCAGATAAACTACCAGTATCCAGACATTCATTCCTCATACACAGCATGATCGGTTAGCAGTCTGTATATATATAATGAGTTTCTATCCAGCGATAACTTGACATAAACTTCAACAGAAGCAGCACATACAGCGATCCTTCTGAGAGGTAGGCTGCGCCAGTCCTAAGACTAATGAGTAACTATTAGCATCATTTGAGAAAATTAGACAAATTTCGAGAATAAATCTCTTGCTAAAGATAGCAATGATTAAAGAGATATATTTTTTTTCAAAGAAACTATAGTTAATATATTTGGTTAGTTTTTGTAGAAACTATGTCCTTTTTTTTTCTCTCTCTTGATATCATGGAGAAGCTATCTGGTAGATGATAGATCACTAACAATTAGAAATGTTTTTGATGAGATATGAGTCGATCAAAAGACAGCATCACAGCATTAACAGATCTTAATATTCCTGCGAGCATCACTGAATGTATGCATATTAGGATTAGGTTGATTGATAGATTGAGCTATATATAGTTAACTACTAGCAGTCTAGCGGTGAAAATCCGCTGATCTGGCGATTAATAAGCCATTCTATTTTGCTTGCTTTTTCAAACGTCTCACACCAAACAAATATTCTACAATCACCTCATCACCAGCATTCGGACATGTTGGCTGTGTTTCCAGCAAATCTAAGAGAGTTCCCACACAGTAAGCCATTCTAATGCAGGAATCTCCGTTGAAATTGCGATGCCAATTCATCCGGATCTTGTAGTGCTGACACTCTTGAAGTGTCGCTTCTCAAGCTTCTCGGCAAAGTCAAGCCCCCATTGTGATGGGATAAGTCCGAAGATCGTTCCGTCCGTTGTATCTCGGAGCTATCAAAGAAAGGATGCATGAACCGCACCGCTGACTCTAATTGGCTGTGTTCATACTACAATCTCCGCTCAACATAAAACTCATTGATCTTTGGTACGGACGTAACAAGACCAAGAAGCGGCCAAGCCATGATCGCAGATAGAGAGGAATTTTGGTCTCTTCCCATGATGGATATAAATCTCGCCTGCATCTCTCGATTGATACTTCATCGAACAATCATTTACAAACTCCTTCTCGACGACCTCTCAGTCCTCATTCGACAGAATTTCCTCTCACAATGCATCTCAAATTTTTGACTCTCATGTGCTCAGTGGCAGGCGCCCTGGCAGCAAATGGAGTTTTCAATCAACCCAAGGGCAAGTCTTTCGTCACCATTGAGTATCAGGTCGGCTATCCCATCAACACCACGACGCCAGCCGGCGTGGTTGCCACCGTCCCAGTTTTGAGCGGCGATATCAAAGGAAGATTCAATGGCCACATTGTGGAGAACATTACCTCATCCGTCGAAGCGTATCTGGACACTTGCACCGGGAGCTTCACTGTATGTCCACCAGTGTGATACAAGTCCCTTAATTCTAGGCTGACTTTCCATAACTAGTCTTT